CCCCCCCTATGTATTATACATGGAGATCATATCCCCCTTATGTATTATACATGGAGATCATATCCCCCTTATGTATTATACATGGAGATCATATCCCCCCTTATGTATTATACATGGAGATCATATCCCCCCTTATGTATTATACATGGAGATCATATCCCCCCTTATGTATTATACATGGAGATCATATCCCCCCTTATGTATTATACATGGAGATCATATCCCCCCTTATGTATTATACATGGAGATCATATCCCCCCTTATGTATTATACATGGAGATCATATCCCCCCCTGTATTATACATGGAGATCATATCCCCCCCCCTTATGTATTATACATGGAGATCATATCCCCCCTTATGTATTATACATGGAGATCATATCCCCCCTTATGTATTATACATGGAGATCATATCCCCCCTTATGTATTATACATGGAGATCATATCCCCCCTTATGTATTATACATGGAGATCATATCCCCCCCCCTATGTATTATACACATGGAGATCATATCCCCCCTTATGTATTATACATGGAGATCATATCCCCCCCCTTATGTATTATTACATGGAGATCATATCCCCCCCCCTTATGTATTATACATGGAGATCATATCCCCCCTTATGTATTATACATGGAGATCATATCCCCCTTATGTATTATACATGGAGATCATATCCCCCCCTTATGTATTATACATGGAGATCATATCCCCCCCCTTATGTATTATACATGGAGATCATATCCCCCCCCTTATGTATTATACATGGAGATCATATCCCCCCTTATGTATTATACATGGAGATCATATATCCCCCCTTATGTATTATACATGGAGATCATATCCCCCTTATGTATTATACATGGAGATCATATCCCCCCTTATGTATTATACATGGAGATCATATCCCCCTTATGTATTATACATGGAGATCATATCCCCCCTTATGTATTATACATGGAGATCATATCCCCCTTATGTATTATACATGGAGATCATATCCCCCCTTATGTATTATACATGGAGATCATATCCCCCCCTTATGTATATATACATGGAGATCATATCCCCCTTATGTATTATACATGGAGATCATATCCCCCCTTATGTATTATACATGGAGATCATATCCCCCCTTATGTATTATACATGGTGATCATATCCCCCCCTTATGTATTATACATGGAGATCATATCCCCCCTTATGTATTATATACATGGAGATCATATCCCCCCTTATGTATTATACATGGAGATCATATCCCCCCCCTTATGTATTATACATGGAGATCATATCCCCCCTTATGTATTATACATGGAGATCATATCCCCCTTATGTATTATACATGGAGATCATATCCCCCCTTATGTATTATACATGGGAGATCATATATCCCCCTTATGTATTATACATGGAGATCATATCCCCCCTTATGTATTATACATGGAGATCATATCCCCCTTATGTATTTATACATGGAGATCATATCCCCCCCTTATGTATGTATTATACATGGAGATCATATCCCCCCCTTATGTATTATACATGGAGAGATCATATCCCCCCTTATGTATTATACATGGAGATCATATCCCCCCCTTATGTATTATACATGGAGATCATATCCCCCCCTTATGTATTATACATGGAGATCATATCCCCCTTATGTATTATACATGGTGATCATATCCCCCCTTATGTATTATACATGGTGATCATATCCCCCCTTATGTATTATACATGGAGATCATATCCCCCCTTATGTATTATACATGGAGATCATATCCCCCCTTATGTATTATACATGGAGATCATATCCCCCTTATGTATTATACATGGAGATCATATCCCCCTTATGTATTATACATGGAGATCATATCCCCCCTTATGTATTATACATGGAGATCATATCCCCCCTTATGTATTATACATGGAGATCATATCCCCCCCTTATGTATTATACATGGAGATCATATCCCCCCTTATGTATTATACTGGAGATCATATCCCCCCTTATGTATTATACATGGAGATCATATCCCCCCTTATGTATTATACATGGAGATTCATATCCCCCCTTATGTATTATACATGGAGATCATATCCCCCCCTTATGTATTATACATGGAGATCATATCCCCCCTTATGTATTATACATGGAGATCATATCCCCCCCCTTATGTATTATACATGGAGATCATATCCCCCCTATGTATTATACATGGAGATCATATCCCCCCCTTATGTATTATACATGGAGATCATATCCCCCCCCTTATGTATTATACATGGAGATCATATCCCCCCCTTATGTATTATTTATTATACATGGAGATCATATCCCCCCTTATGTATTATACATGGAGTGATCATATCCCCCCTTATGTATTATACATGGAGATCATATATCCCCCCCTTATGTATTATACATGGAGATCATATCCCCCCTTATGTATTATACATGGAGATCATATCCCCCCTTATGTATTATACATGGAGATCATATCCCCCCTTATGTATTATACACATGGAGATCATATCCCCCCTTATGTATTATACATGGAGATCATATCCCCCCCTTATGTATTATACATGGAGATCATATATCCCCCCTTATGTATTATACATGGAGATCATATCCCCCCCCTTATGTATTATACATGGAGATCATATCCCCCCTTTATGTATTATACATGGAGATCATATCCCCCCTTATGTATTATACATGGAGATCATATCCCCCCTTATGTATTATACATGGAGATCATATCCCCCCTTATGTATTATACCCCATATCCCCCTTATGTATTATACATGGAGATCATATCCCCCCTTATGTATTATACATGGAGATCATATCCCCCTTTATGTATTATACATGGAGATCATATCCCCCCTTATGTATTATACATGGAGATCATATCCCCCCCTTATGTATTATACATGGAGATCATATCCCCCCTTATGTATTATACATGGAGATCATATCCCCCCTTATGTATTATACATGGAGATCATATCCCCCCTTATGTATTATACATGGAGATCATATCCCCCCTTATGTATTATACATGGAGATCATATCCCCCCCTTATGTATTATACATGGAGATCATATCCCCCCTTATGTATTATACATGGAGATCATATCCCCCCCTTATGTATTATACATGGAGATCATATCCCCCCTTATGTATTATACATGGAGATCATATCCCCCCCTTATGTATTATACATGGAGATCATATCCCCTTTATGTATTATACATGGAGATCATATCCCCCCTTATGTATTATACATGGAGATCATATCCCCCCTTATGTATTATACATGGAGATCATATCCCCCCCCCCTTATGTATTATACATGGAGATCATATCCCCCCCCCTTATGTATTATACATGGAGATCATATCCCCCCTTATGTATTATACATGGAGATCATATCCCCCCTTATGTATTATACATGGAGATCATATCCCCCCTTATGTATTATACATGGAGATCATATCCCCCCTTATGTATTATACATGGAGATCATATCCCCCCCTTATGTATTATACATGGAGATCATATCCCCCCTTATGTATTATACATGGAGATCATATCCCCCCCCTATGTATTATACATGGAGATCATATCCCCCCTTATGTATTATACATGGAGATCATATCCCCCCTTATGTATTATACATGGAGATCATATCCCCCCCTTATGTATTATACATGGAGATCATATCCCCCCCTTATGTATTATACATGGAGATCATATCCCCCCTATGTATTATATACATGGAGATCATATCCCCCCTTACATGGAGATCATATCCCCCCTTATGTATTATACATGGAGATCATACCTCCCCCTTATGTATTATACATGGAGATCATATCCCCCCCTTATGTATTATACATGGAGATCATATCCCCCCTTATGTATTATACATGGAGATCATATCCCCCCTTATGTATTATACATGGAGATCATATCCCCCCTTATGTATTATACATGTAGATCATATCCCCCCTTATGTATTGTATAGACAACTTCTGTCTTTCATGAATCCATGCTGTCTGTTATTTAAAATATTTTTCCAGCAAGAACTCCTCTATGTGGTCTTTTATTAAACTCTCCAGTATCTTCCCAACTATAGAAGTTACACTAACAGGTCTGTAATTACATGGTAAAGATTTTGACCCCTTTTTAAATATTGGCCCCACATAGGCCTTACACCAATCCAGGGGTACTATGCCAGTCATTAAAGGGTCCCTAAAAATGAGAAACAATGGCTTTGAAATGACAGAGCTCAAATCTTTAAGGCCCCGTGGGTGTATGCCATCCGGTCCAGGGGTGTTATTCACCTTTATTCTGGCTAAATATTTTCGGATCATATCTCCTGAGCCCTAGCTCATACTGACGCGGTGCGGCACATTGCATGTGATTTGCACAGGAACCGTACCACATTCCTGTGCAAATCACATGCGATCTCTGTGCGGTGTAATTTGAGCCGTTCATTTTGTATAGCCCAAATCGCACCGAATCCGCACCAAAATAGCGCAGGACCCCTTTTTTTGTCCGCACCAGAATCTGATCGCATGGGTGTTCATGTTCTGAAAAGAAGCATGCTGACAGAAGGAGAGAGGAGAGTGACAGAGAGATGAGCTCATCGCTGTGCTGCTTCTACTTCTAGAAACATCATGATGGCTCTTCCTTCGCTGCAACAATTATGTGAGACACAAGCAGGGGTGGACTGACAACTCATGGGGCCCCGGGCAATAGGGGGTCATGGGGCCCCTGTTGTGTCCTTGCCCAAACTCAAAAAAAAGCCAATGAAAAAGGTACCAGGGGCATCTCATGGGGCCCCCTACTGACCCCGGGCCCTGGGGCAGTGCCCGAGTTTCCAAATGGTCAGTCCGCCCCTGGACACAAGTATGGTAGAATCAGAGTCAGGGCTTCCCTGGGGCCCCCCAAGAGGTTGAGGGTGGGGCGTTCCTCTTACCAGGTGGGGGTCGGTTGATGGGATGATGTATGCACTGATGTTGTGGCTTCGCATCTCTTGGCGGAGTCTGTTGAGCCCTTCGGTGGAATTTTTCACAGCGGGCGGAATGTACTGCCACGAAAACAACACATATATCTACTATGAGTCAAACATGTCATAAAATACATGAACACAATAAATACATCAAAAAATAAAATTACAAATTGGCCCAGGTCAGTCTACATTAGATTGGGATTGGCACACACTGTGGGTGATTGGGTCTTATTATAATTTTGCGACGGGTGCGCTCTGATTTCTAGTTACACCCCCTACCCTGACTCCACCTATATCTAATATACCACTTTGGATAACTCAAGGGTGTATTTATTATAAAAAAAACAAAATGTTCATCTATTAAAGTGTTACTAAACTCTGGACCCTGCATTCACTATATCCGGTCTCCCCAGACCCTGCATTCACTATATCTGGTCTCCCCGGACCCTGCATTCACTATATCTGCTCTCCCTGGACTCCGCATTCACTATATCCGCTCTCTTTAGACCCCGCATTTCACTATATCCGGTCTTCCCAGACTCTGCATTCACTATATCCACTCTCCCCGGACCCTGCATTCACTATATCCGGTCTCCCCGGACCCTGCATTCACTATATCTGGTCTCCCAGGACCCTGCATTTCACTATATCCCGCTGGTCTCCCCCGGACCCTGCATTCACTATATCTGGTCTTGCCCCCGGACCCTGCATTCACTATATCCGCTCTCCGTGGACCCTGCATTCATTATATCTGGTCTCCCCCATTCACCAGGACCCTGCATTCACTATATCTGGTCTCCCCAGACCCTGCATTCACTATATCCGGTCTTCCCGGACCCTGCATTCACTATATCCGGTCTTCCCAGACTCTGCATTCACTATATCCGCTCTTCTTAGACCCTGCATTCACTATATCCGGGTCTTCCCAGACTCTGCATTCACTATATCCGCTCTTCTTAGACCCTGCGTTCACTATATCCGCTCTCCCCAGATCCTGCATTCACTATATCCGCTATTCCTCTCCCCCAGACTCCGCATTCACTATATCCGCTCTCCCCGGACCCTGCATTCACTCTTTCCGCTCTCCCCGGACCCTGCATTCACTCTGTCCCGCTCTCCCCGGACCCTGCATTCACTATATCCGCTCTCCCCGGACCCTGCATTCACTATATCCGCTCTCCCCGGACCCTGCATTCACTATATCCGCTCTCCCCGGACCCTGAATTCACTATATCCGCTCTCCCCGGACCCTGCATTCACTATATCCGCTCTCCCCCGGACCCTGAATTCACTATATCCGCTCTCTCCCCGGACCCTGCATTCACTATATCCGCTCTCCCCGGACCCTGCATTCACTATATCCGCTCTCCCCGGACCCTGCATTCACTATATCCGCTCTCCCCGGACCCTGCATTCACTATATCACTATATCCGCTCTCCCCGGACCCCGCATTCACTATATCTGGTCTCCCCGACCCTGCATTCACTATATCTGGTCTCCCCGGACCCTGCCATTGCATTATTTTAGTATATCTAAATATCTTTTCTCATCAGCAGTATATAGCAGTCTTGTGACTTCTATCAGTGTCTAGCAGAGCACTGGTTAAAGCTTGTAGGAGGAATTTTCTTTCTGCTCTAGGAGAATGCAGAACCCCCGGCCTCTATTTGGACAGTGCCGATTGGCCCTGTGCTGATCACATGCACTCTCCCCAAAAAAAAAAAAAAATCTCTCTAGAAATACACACCAAACCGAGCATGTGTAGAGTGACTCCACACCATATGTCATATTAGGAGACAAGAGGGGGGCACTGTAACAAGAGGAGGGGCAGGGAAGACAGGATCAAACAGCCTTTTTACACACTGCAGAGGATTAACCCCTTAGGTTCCACAGTGAGTATAACAAGCATGCTTTACTGCATCTACAGACTGATTGTACTGTTGGGGTTTAGTAACTTTTCCTTCCTGGAATAAAGACCGCTCACTGCTGTTCTCTCTCCTTGTGCAGGAGGACTGGTCTGGTTTCCTGTAGTGTTCTGCAGGCGGCCTGTAGTGGGTGGAATCTGCCGGGTCCCTCCCACAGCTCTGCTCTCTCTCCTTGTGTAGTGTGACTGGTGTTGTCTCCGCCCCCTCCTGTAGTTTTCTGCAGTTAGCCTGTAGTGGGTGGAGCCTGTTGTGCCCCTCCCACAGCTCTTCTCTGTCCTTGTTCGGGGGGACTGGTCTTGTCTCCGCCCCTCCGGTTGTTTTCTGTAGTGGGTGGAGCCTGCTGGGCCCCTCCCACAGCTCTGCTCTCTCCTTGTGCGGGGAACTGGTCTTGTCTCCGCCCCTCCTGTTGTTTTATGTAGTGGGCGGAGCCTGCTGGGCCCCTCCCACAGCTCTGCTCTCTCCTTGTGCGGGGGGACTGGTCTTGTCTCCGCCCCTCCTGTTGTTTTATGTAGTGGGTGGAGCCTGCTGAGCCCCTCCCACAGCTCTTCTCTCTCCTTGTTCGGGGGGGACTGGTCTTGTCTCCGCCCCTCCTGTAGTTTTATGTAGTGGGTGGAGCCTGTGGGGCCCCTCCCACAGCTCTGCTCTCTCTCCTGTGCGGGGGGACTGGTCTTGTCTCCGCCCCTCCTGTTGTTTTATGTAGTGGACGGAGCCTGCTGGGCCCCTCCCACAGCTCTGCTCTCCTTGTGCGGGGGGGGGACTGGTCTTGTTTCCCGCCCCTTTCTTGTTGTTTTATGTAGTGGGTGGAGCCTGCTGGGCCCCTCTCACAGCTCTGCCCTCTCCTTGTGCTGGGGGACTGGTCTTGTCTCCGCCCCTCCTGTAGTTTATGTAGTGGGTGGAGCCTGCTGGGCTCCTCCCACAGCTCTGCCCTCTCCTTGTTCTGGGGGGACTGGTCTTGTCTCTGCCCTCCCTGTAGTTTTATGTAGTGGGTGGAGCCTGTGGGGCCCCTCCCATAGCTCTTACCGGAGGCGTGGTGGAGCAGTCTCTGATGGTCATGTCTCGGGGCTTTTTGTGAAGTACAGCAGAGAATCCTGTGTGTAAGAAGAGAGTTAATAGAAGAAGAAAGAATTCCAATAAGATCTTTAGCCTCTAAATTGAAAAAAATAAATAAAACATTAAATAATAATTTAAAAAAACCACCTACTGCTCCTGCTTCATGCCGAACAACATTGCACTGATGCAGTGGTGGAACCAGGGTCGCAAAGGTCGCACTTGCAACCGGACCCTGACATTCCTCCACCGCGGGGGCCCCGCTGAGGGACTAGTGCTGCCACAAAGTCATATGACTTGCTTGCGATTTCCTCCAGACTGGACATTCTTTAGAATCCGACACTTCCAGAAGTGTCAATCGCTGCTCAAAAGTTTTGGAAAAAACGAACGAATTTCGAATCAGCGATGGGAAAATCGTGCGAGGAAATATATAAACGAAAAAAAGATGAGCGTGAGCCGGAAAGAAAAGAAAATTCTTGGCTACGAAAACTCTTTTCTGTAGCAACACGAAATTGAAGGCTCGGTTGGTTGAATTTCGAAATCAACGTCGGGCGCCAAAACGCACAAAATTTCAGAATTTTATAAAGAACATTCTTCAGAATTCGACCCGTGCACGGCCTGCTTTAATGTGCATTGTGGTAATGCGCCTGTTTCTGCAATGTACCGCGCTGGAAAGGTGCGAATCGGCCATCGAAGTCCAGATACAAGTTTCCGATGGTAAGCAGATGAAAACCATACAAACAACGCGTTTCGGAGACTAAGCCCAGCCCCCTTCATCAGGAATAAAACACATAGGGGGGAGATTTACTAAAGGCAAATAGACTGTGCACTTTGTAAAGTGGAGTCGCACTGTGCAAGAGCAGTTGCTCCAGAGCGCCGCCCTATAGCAGAAATACCGCTGCAGATCGGTACGGCTGCGCAAACCCACATGGAAGAAAAATATATTTGAAATATATTTTTTAAATATTCTTCCCAAATATATTGATATAAATGAAAAGTTACAATTTTGGCCATATTCAATATATTTAAATAATATATATATATGTGTGTGTGTGTGTGTATATATATATATATTTTGCATGTTGAAATGCGTTTTTATTACAAAATATCTGAAAAATATTTTTAAAAAAGTCAATTTTCAAATATACTGCATGTCTTTAAAAAACTACAAATCTACATTTTTGGAATGCATTTACAAATATATGTTAAAATGACTTTTTGATATGTTAAAAAAAATTTGAAGAATATATTTTTTTTTTTAAAATATATTTTTTTAAAATACATTCTTCAGATTTTTTTTAACATATCAAAAAGTCATTTTAACATATATTTTTACATATATTTGTAAATGCATTCCAAAAATGTAGATTTGTAGTTTTAACCACTTCCTGTCCGGACACTTTCCCCCCCTTCCTGACCAGGCCAATTTTCAGCTTTCAGCGCTATCACACACTTTGAATGACAATTGCGCGGTCATGCAACACTGTACCCAATTAATTTTTTTACCATTTTTTTGAGATAGATAAAGCTTTATTTTGGTGGTATTTATTCACCACTGGGATTTGTATTTTTTTTGCTATGTAAATGAAATGTCCAAAAATTTTGAAAAAAAGTGTTTTTTTTTATAAAATTTTGCAAATAAATAATATTTCATCATAAATCTTAGCCAAAATTTATTCCGTTATCTTTTTAGTAAAAAAAAAAAAAAATCCAAATTAGTTTATAAGCAAAAATTATCATTTTTAAACATTTTTTTTTTACATTTTTATTTAATTTTTTTATATTATTATTTTTTATTTATTTATTTTTTTTTACATACTGTCACCCTAGCAGTACAGTGTCACCATGGTAACACTGTACTACTTGTGGGGGGGGTGATGAAGATTTTTTTTTTTTTTTTTTTTTTACACTGATTGCTTTTACACCCATATAGGATGTAAAAGCAATCATTTCTCTTTCTCTCTGGCTGCATTTTTTGCACTCATTGAGAAGAACTGAGTGAGCTGTGATTGGTCACAGCTTGTCACATGGTACAAGGCTTTTGTGAATAGCCCTGTACCATGTGACCTAGGTGATCATTCACAGATTTCACACATAGTAAGCAATGATGTCAGAAGTGACATCTTGCTTACTACTTTGCATGTGATCACCGATTGGCCAATCAGTGATCACATGATCGGGACCTCGTACAGAGGTCCAGTCCGACGATCGGTGTTTCACTGTGTCCGGAGCACACAGCGGGCACCGGATCGCGGTGCTACGCGCTCCCAGGGAGCGCGCACAAGCAGGGTGCGGGGAGGCCGTTTATAGACGCCACCCGACCCTGCAGTGCCACCCGTCCGGCCGTTTATATACAACGGACAGACGGGAAGTGGTTAAAGACATGCAGTATATTTGAAAAGATCAAGCCCAGGTTTGCGGCAGAATAGTGGGAGCAAAAGAGGAGAAACACTCAGCCTTCCATTAATAGAAGATTACCAAGCAATTTATTCCATTTGGAGAGGTGTCACTTTAGAAATCATGCGAACAGTCGATTTGCACCATATAGTCCCACTTAGATGGGACCTAATATACGAAGGGACTTTTTTATAAATTTTTTTGGACGTTTATGAATTACTCTTTTTTATATTTATTTCCTTATTTATTCTTACGAATTTATTTATTTATTTATTTTTATGAATTAATATTAATCATTTTTTATTTTTTAGTTTATTTTTATGAATTAATATTAATCATTTTTTATTTTTTAGTTTATTTAATTATTATTTTATCAAAGCTTTTTTTTTTTTTTTTTTTTTTTTTGAGTTATTTTGTGCACTTGTAGAAATTAAGGATAATTTATTTATTGAATATTAATTAACTAATTATTTATTGGATATTAGGTGTTACCAAATGAATTTATCTGTTTATTTATTTATGATTTTTATATAAAACTATATAAACATATATAAAATATTTTAAATATTTTTATTTAATTTATTTATTATTTATTTATTATTTATTATTATTATTATTAATTATTATTTATTATTTATTTAATATATTAATATATTTATATAAATATATATAAATATTTTATATAAACTAGATAAATAATATAAGGGCGCGGCACCATTTTTCACCTCCTTTGCTCATGTTTATATATGTGATGAGAATATAATTAGGAGCTAGCGAACTTACTCTGGAACAAATATTAGTAGCGGCTCGTAGGTTATTACCAATTTAGTACTTTTAAAAAATATTTTTCATATATTTTGTAATAAAAACCCATTTCAACATGCAATACATATATGTATATATCTCCTAGATTGTAAGCTCCAAGGATCAGGGCCCTCCTAAACCTCTTGTATTGTTACTGTATTGTCTCCCGTAAAGCGCGGAGCAAACTGTTGGCGCTATATAAGTCCTGTATAAATAATAATATTTATTGAAATATATTGAATACGGCCAAAATTGTAGCATTTCATATATATGTCAATATATTTGAGAAGAATTAAAAAAAAAAAAATATTTCAAATATATTTTTCTTCCATATGGGAAATCACACATACAGTATATATACGTGACTTTGCATTACCGGGTAGGGGGCGCGCATGCGCTTTACCCGCGCCGCCATTCGCGCGTGCCTCGGCTGTCGATCACCTGTTCCCCCCAATGTCAGAATGCCCGCCGCAGTCCCGCAATAAGTCGCTGATCGCCGCCATTACTAGTAAAATATATATATATAAGTATATATACACAGCGTGCAGTTAACCCTTTGATCGCCCCAGATGTTAACCCCTTCCTGCCCAGTGCCATTAGTACAGTGTCAGTGCTTTTTACTAGCGCTGATCACTGTATTGGTGTCACTGGGGATGTCAGTGGCAGTTAAATCAGTTCCCCCCCCCAAGTGTCAGAATGCCCACCGCAGTCCCACAATAAGTCGCTGATCGCCGCCATTACTAGTAAAATATATATATATAAAGTATATATACACAGCGTGCAGTTAACCCTTTGATCGCCCCAGATGTTAACCCCTTCCTGCCCAGTGCCATTAGTACAGTGTCAGTGCTTTTTACTAGCGCTGATCACTGTATTGGTGTCACTGGGGATGTCAGTGGCAGTTAATCAGTTCCCCCCCCCAAGTGTCAGAATGCCCACCGCAGTCCCACAATAAGTCGCTGATACGCCGCCATTACTAGTAAAAAAAAAAATTCCCAGTATCTATACCGCCATTTTTAAACGCTATAGAACTTTCCCGTAAACCAATTAATTTACACGTATTGGGATTTTTTTAGCAAAGACATGGAGCAGAATACATTTTGGCCAAAATTTATGATGAAATTTGATTTCTACATTTTTTCTACTGGAGATGTTTAAAAATAGCAAAAAGTCACAAATATTGTTTTTTTTTTAATTTAATTTGTTTATAATGTAAATTTTAATGTAAATTGTTTATAGTGCATATATGTGATTTTGCAGTTCCAGGTAGAGGTCATCCCTGCGCCCTAACCCGCACCGCCATTAGCGGCCCCAGCTGTCAAATCACTGGGATCCCAGCCAGGTGATTACTCGCCGGCACCCGTGATCGCTAAAGTATCTCTCTGATGGGGGAGAGACACAGATCTCTCCCCTGTCAGCTCCTGCACACTGCTTTGTATGGCTCTGCATAGCAGCATGCTTACAGTGAAACACACACTACAGCACACAGTTACAAATCCCTTTGATCACCCCAGAGGTTAATAACCCTTTCCTGCCCAGTGTCATTAAGTACAGTGTCAGTGCTTTTATTAGCACTGATCACTGTATTGGTGTCACTGGGATGTCAGTGACACCAAGTCAGCTCCCACCCCCCCCCGTGTGTCAGAATGCCCGCAGCAATCCCGCTATAAAGTCGCTGATCGTCGCCATTACTAGTAATAAAAAAAAAAAAAAAAAATTCCAGTATCTATACGCGCCATTTGTAAACGCTAATTTTCACGTAAACCAATTAATTTACACGTATTGGGATTCTTTTTTTTTTACCAAAGACACGGAGCAGAATACATTTTGGCCTAAGTTTATGACGAAATTAGATTTTTTAAATTTTTTTTCTGGACATGTTTAATAGCAAAAAATCAAAATTATATATTTTTTTTCAAAATTATCAGTCTTTTTTGTTTATATAGCTCAAAAAATAAAAAAAGCAGAGGTGATCAAAATACCACCGAAAAAGAAAGCTCTATTTGTGGGGGAAAAAAATAATTGTTTTTTTTTCTCAAAATTGTCGGTCTTTTTTTTTTAATAGCACAAAAAATAAAAAACGCACAGGCGATCAAATACCACCGAAAGAAAGCTCTATTTGTGGGGGAAAAAAAAAAGAATTTTTTTTTTTTTTTTTTAAATTAAATTGTTGGTCTTTTTTTTTTTTATAGCACAAAAAATAAAAAAAACACACAAATACCACCGAAAGAAAGCTCTATTTGTGGGGAAAAAATAATTGTTTTTTTTTCTCAAAATTGTCGGTCTTTTTTTTTTTTTTATAGCACAAAAAAATAAAAAACGCACACAAATACCACCGAAAGAAAGCTCTATTTGTGGGGAAAAAAATTATTGTTTTTTTTTCTCAAAATTTGTCGGTCTTTTTTTTTGTTTTTTTTAATAGCAACACAAAAAATCTTTAAAAAACGCACACAAATACCACCGAAAGAAAGCTCTATTTGTGGGGAAAAGATAATTGTTTTTTTTTTCTCAAAATTGTCGTCTTTTTTTTTTTTAATAGCACAAACAATAAAAAACACACACAAATACCACACAAAAGAAAGCTCTATTTGTGGGGAAAAATATTATTGTTTTTTTTTCTCAAAATTGAAAATCGGTCTTTTTTTTTTTTTTAATAGCACAAAAAAAAAAAAACGCACACAAATACCACCGAAAGAAAGCTCTATTTGTGGGTAAAAAATTATTGTTTTTTTTTCTCAAAATTGTCGGTCTCTTTTTTTTTTTTTTGTTTTGTTTGTTGTTTAAATAGCACAAGAAAATAAAAAACGCACACAAATACCACCGAAAGAAAGCTCTATTTGTGGGGAAAAGATAAATTGTTTTTTTTTTTTCTCAAAATTGTTGGTCTTTTTTTTTTTTAATAGCACAAAAAATAAAAAACGCACAGGCGATCACATACCACTGAAAGAAAGCTCTATTTGTGGGGAAAAAAAAAGAATTGTTTTTTTTTTTCTCAAAATTGTTGGTCGATGAATATTTTTATAGCAAAGCAGAAAATAAAAAACACACAAAAAACCACCCGAAAGAAAGCTCTATTTGTGAGGAAAAAAGCAATTATTGTTTTTTTTGTTCTCAAAATTTCGGTCTTCTTTTCTTTTATTAGCACAAAAAAAATCTAAAAAACGCAAAAAAATAAAAAACACAACAAATAAACCGAAAAAAGCTCTAAATGTGGTGGAAAAAAAATTTTTTTTTTTTCTCAAAATTGTGCACGTTTTTTTAAAAATAATATGTATAACAAAAAAAAAAAATGAAACAAAGTACCAAAAAAATCTAATTTAAAAAGAAAAAAAAGAATTGAAAAACGAATTTCTTAAAAAATAGAAAAAAAAAAATAAAAAAGCAAAAAGGTTATGTATTAAAAAATACGCTATATGAAAAAAAATGAAATTAGTCCAATTAAAAGAAAAAAAAGATGCTAAAATAAGGTATTTAAAATTAAGGCCAAAAAATAGAATCTAATAAAACAAAAGAATAAAAAATGTAATAGATAATAATAAGGGTAAAACAAAAAACAAAGCGAAAATTGATAAAAAAAAGAAACATACTTAAAAAATAATAAATAAAAAAGTGAGTCGACAAAAAATAAAATAAGTTAACCGATTAAAAAAAAAAAAAATAAAAAAATAATTGGGGAAAATAAAATAAAAGATATTAATGTAAATAATAATACAAAAAATAGCGCTAAAAATAAAAAATAATCAATTATGAAACAATAGCATTAAACAAAAAATACATTAAAAATAAAAAAAAACATAGAAAAAAAAAAAAAAAATTAAATTGCTAAGTACAAATAGAAATTAACCAATGAAATAAAAAAAATAATAAAAACGTTAAATTCAAATTAAAAAAAAAATAATAGAGAAAAGAATTTATAGACAATAAAAAAAATTCGCTAAAAAAAAAATTGAACAATAAAAATAATAAGTGAATAAGAATTATAGAAACATAAAAGAAATGAAAAAATTGTAATAATAAAAAAGAAAATAAAGAATGGTAAAGAAATATTAAAAAAAAAATAGGCGATATTATAAAATAAATTAACATAAGAAAGAAAGCAAGAAATTAAATAAAGTGTAACAAGACCAAAAAAAAAAAAAAAAAAAACAATGTATAGGAATAGTTAAATTAAACGATAAGTTTAATAAGCAGTGAATAAAATAAGTGTGTAAGAAAAAACAATAAAATATAATAAATAAAAAAGTAACTACAACCAGTATTGTAAAAAAATTGTATTGAAAAAAATCGAAATAATAAAAAAAATAAAAGAAAAAAGTCGATGGTTTGAGATAATAAAATATTAAGAATCAAGGAATTGAATGGGTATAATTATAAGTAAAAAAATTTTACAACGTTAAAATGAAAAATAAAAAAAAATAGATAAAAAAAAAAATGCACTATAAGAAATAATGTAATTGGAATTTAAAATAATAAGAAATCACATGATAAAAAAAAGATAAAATTACTACAAGCAAAACAATGGAAAGAAAAAGAATAAAAAAATAAAAAATAACAAGATAAAAAAATAATATAGAAAGTTTAAGCTGAAAAAAATCAATAATAATAATGAGAAAATAAAAAAAATAAAATTTGGCAGAAATACAAAAAAATAAAAATGAAAGGAGAAACAAAAATTTTTACAAAAAAAAAAGAAAAAAAAAAAAAAAAAAAAAAAAAAAATAAAAAAAAAAAAAAAAAAAAAAAAAAAAAAATAATAAAAAAAATTAGAATAATTATTAATAAAATTAATAAAAAAAAGTATTACTAAAATTTTTAATTAATAAGAACTATTAAAGAAAAAAATATTAAAAATAATAGTAAAAATAAACTAAAAAACATATCTAAAAAAATGAAAAAAGATAAAAGAATACATAAAAAGTAAAAAACTGGAACGCATCAAAAACGCACATCCGGAATGCATCTGAACTGCGTTTCTTTAGTGTGACCCGGGCTAAAGATGAAATATTTTTTTTGGGTGTTTAAAGGGGAACTCCTCTTATACGTATCACAACAATTCACCCCCCCCCCCCCCAATTCTCATTCACAGTCCATTCTCATTATCATTCTGGAAAAGCTGCAGAACTCACCATACTGAACGAAGGTGCAAATTCCCAGAATCCAGAGGAGTCCCGACATGTCTCCTCCAATCCTGGCGCTCACAGGGATCAATTCTTCTGTCCTCTTCAGATATTTACTATCAGACTGAACACCGCCCAACTGAACGGCAGCGAGAGACCTGCCTCCATTGTACGACTTCCTAAGGACAAATCCACCGCTCTCCCTTCCTGGACTCAGCATTCCACCTACTAATAGAGAACTGCACACTGCAAGCTCACAAGAAAAATGGATATAATAAAGTTAAAAAAAAAAAAATAATAATACTCAA